TAGCAATTAGACTCACTAATGCCGTTGTACTATTAATGTTAATACAATAAAAAAGGCAAATCTGTTAATACTGTTTTTAAAATAGTTTGACCTCATGTATTCTCTGAATGAATTTGGGGACCCGTAGGGGTTTACAGACCACATTTTTCTGATCACAGGCCCAAGGATGCTTTAGAGATCCTCTAGACGAGTGCCCTGGAGTGGCTCAGTATGTGTTTTTCTGTGTACTGAGGTCATTATCAATGTATTTGGTAAGTGTTCCATAAATATTCATGTAGGAAATGAACTCTATCAATACAATTTGTGGGCATTGCCTATTTTAGTTTAATTGGCTTCCTTCTTTACAAGCCTGCTATAGTTCTTGCTTCTTGGTTATATTCTTGCAATAAATAGTTCTTTTTTTTAGTAGAGATGGGGTCTCACTCTTGCTTAAACAATCTTCCCACCTAGACCTCCCAGAGTGCTAGGATTACCAGGTGTAAGCCATTAAGCCATTGTGCCTTGCCTTAAAAGAGCACATTTGAACAGTTAGTTAAATTTGAACAATGAAGATGGTATTCTTCATTTCTGGAGACAATTAGTGATATAAGTATATTGAATTGATCTTCAAGTATCTTCTGTATTCCTTGTAAATATCTTCTAGTGAAATATACTGAAATATTTATTACAGGTTTAGGTTATAACTCTGAGCATGCATACCATGGACAAATAAAGATCAGAAGCAAGAACCTAAAACTGTTTGTGTTGAAGTAACCTTCTATACTGTGTACAGTTGAAGCAAAAGTCACCCAGATGTTTCTTCTTGTGATTCTCATTAGTTTCTTTGTGCACAGTTGTTAACTGAAGAGGGAAGACATGAGGAACAAGTGCCATTCTAATGAGAATTAAACCTTATTGTGGATGATAAGCGTGTCCTAAAGAGCAATGTATTTATTTAAAACCTGGAACAAGGTGAGGCATAGTGGCTCTCACCTATGATCCCAGCACTCTGAGAGGCAATAAATAGTGATGCCTCTATTTAGAGATGGAAGGATCACTTGAGCTTAGGAGTTTGAGACCAGCCCAAGCAAGAGCCAGACCCCCTCTCTACTAAAAATCGAAAGACTAGCTGGGTGTTGTGGTAGGTGTCTGTAGTCCCAGCTCTCAGGAGGCTCAAGCAAGATGATTGAGTTTGAGGTTGCTATGAGCTGTTATGCCACAGAACACTACCTAGAGGGACAAAGTAAGACTCTGTCTCTAAATAAATAAATAAATAAAACCTGGAACAAGTAAGTATAAATTACTTAGTTACATTTATTTTAGAACCAGACAGTTGCAGTTGTATTTGATTGGCTTTGTTTCCTTAAACTTTAATTGCCAGTGTTTTCTTTATTAGTTCTAAAACTAAGCATTTACTGCTTACTTTTTAAATAATTGATTTTAAGTATTTCCTATGGAATAATTTAGTAGCATGTATTTGCATTTCTAAGACAATTAAAAAAATTTTTTTTAAGAGACAAAAGTCTTACTTTGTCTCCCTCAGTAGAGTGCCCTGGTATCACACCTCACAGCAACTTTCAGCTCTTGAGCTTAGGTGATTCTCTTGCCTGAGCCTCCCGAGTAGCTGGGACTACAGGCACCCGCCACAATTCCTGGCTATTTTTTTGTTGCAGTTTGGCCAGGGCCGAGTTTGAACCTGCCACCCTCAGTATATGGGGCCGGCGTCCTACTCACTGAGCCACAGGCACCACCCTCTAAGACAATTTCAAATGATAGTCACTGAAAAATAAAAATTAAGTGAGTCCCGATTGCTGTCCTTTACAGGTCAGGACAGAGTTAAATATACCAGAAGACTTTAATGCTACCGAGGGCCATTTTTAAAGGCTTTGAAAATCCTTCCCATCTTGATTTCCACCTTCAATAAAGATAAATCCCTAGGCGGTGCCTGTGGTTCAGTGGGTAGAGCACTGGCCTCATATACCGGAGGGTAGCAGGTTTGAACCTGGCCCCAGCCAAACTGCAAGAAAAAATAGCTGGCTGTTGTGGCGGGCGCCTGTAGTCCCAGCTACTCGGGAGGCGCAAGAGAATTGCCTAAGCACAAGAGCTGGAGGTTGCTGCGAGCTGTGATGCAATGGCACTATACTGACGGCGACAAAGTGAAACTCTGTCTCAGAAAATAAAAGATGAGTCCCTATTACAGAGAATTGACTCATGTTGATTAAAAGAAATGTAATAATAATTAAGTGCTTTGAAAATAATTTTCCCTAAATGCAGTAATTTTTGTTATCAGTGAAAAAAATGTAATGATTGTAGCCCCCTGGGAAAGCCCCACTTCACAGAATATTTTCTTCTCTAAGCTGAGTGATTTCTAAAATTCTCCAATAAAAAATTAATTCCTTTTCCCTAAGATTCTATTCCCTTTTAAGTAATACACAGTAATTTCTTGCTAACTGCTGTATGCTTATCTGCACATCAGCTCTATTAAATACATGCTGCTATTACTCTTCTATTTTATAGATATGTTCCCACTAAATGGCAGTACTGGGATTCAGACCCAAATGCATCTCAGCTCCAAAGCTGAGATGGTTAATCACCACTCCCATTTTCCCCTTGACTCCTGCAACACTACTCTGCTGGGTTTCCTTTCTCCCTTCCAGGTCTCTGATTCCTCTTCCCTGTGTTCATCCTTACATGTTGGTGTTCTACAGAAAATGCTTCCTGTTCTGTACATTCTCCCAAGGGATCACATCAGCTATGTGATGCTTCAACATTTTTACTAAATGACTACAAAATGTCTGAAAATTTCTGAACCAGCTTTTGCTCTGGAGCCTGTGTATCTGGTCTGCTTACTGAGCCTCTCCCTGCTCCACCTCTCCCTGTCCCTCTGCCTTTATTTTCTACTGCAGTGAGCAGCGTTATTATCCATGACTCCTGTCATTGCCACTGAGTGATCTTTTTAAAGAACTTCTGGCATAAGCTGCTTACCCCTCTTGAGTGGGTTTACGTAGGAAAGTAAAATCGGCCTGGCACACAAGGCCTCCATGTCATGGCCCTTACCTGCATCACAAGCCCCAACTCCCACTCATTTTGTCTTTTCATATTGCATTTGTTTCAAACCAGAGTGTTAGCAGGGAAACAACACCCCTCCTGAGGCCACTGTGTTGGCAGCGGCCGGCATTAGTCTGAGTTCTCCTTTGGGTGAGGTGAATTTCCCAGTGGCATTCAGGGCTCTGATGTCTAAATCTTTTACCTTATGAAGATTCTTCCTCCATTGGCAAATTTAGAGGTTCTGGGTTTAATTTATATTAAGGAAAGGATATTTTTTGTAAACTCTCTGACCCCTCTGCTTGTTAATCCTTTCAATGCCTACTCTGACATTCTTTCTAAAACACAATTATTATGTTATGTCCCTCTGTTCTTAAGGTCCTACTAATTTTAAATAATTTTGCGTATTTAATATTTTGTAAATAATTAAAAATTTTTAAGTTTTTTATTTTTTTGAGATAGAGTTTCACTCTGTCACCCTTGGTAGAGTGCTATGGTGTCACAGCTCACAGCAACCTCAAACTCCTGGGCTTAGGCAATTCTCTTGCCTCAGCCTCCTGAGTAGCTGGGACTACAAGTGCCCCCCAGATGTCCGGCTATTTTTAGAGACTAGGTCTCTAGCTGGTCTCAAACTGTGAGCTCAGACAATCTACCCACCTCAGCCTCCCAATATTTTTAAACTATTTTTATTACTTTTAAACATGGTATAAGTATGAAGTTGGGCTTTTGCCAGTGTATTTTAATTACCTTTCATATTTCTGTTTTCAATTTTGAAAGGAGTATTTCTCTAGGAAAATTTTGATTAAGGTGTTTGTTGAGCATCAGAAATGCTCATTTATATAATTTTATCAGTAAAAATGTTAAACATTGCTTCATGTAATTAAAGGCCCCATGTACTAAGGGTGGCAGGTTTGAACCCGGCCCGGGCCAAACTGCAACAACAACCACACACAAAAAAAAAAAAAAAAAAAATAGCCGGGCAGTGAGGCAGGTGCCTGTAGTCCCAGCTACTCAGGAGGCTGAGTCAAGAGAATTGCCTAAGCCCAGGAGATGGAAGTTGCTGTGAGCTGAGATGCCACTGCGCTCTACCGAGGATGATAAATTGAGACCCTGTTTCTAAAAAAAAGTTAACATAGAACACTTTTTTAACAGTAGTGTTGTAATCATTGAGAAACCTCATTCTGAAATCATATCTAGTGGAGGTTTATCTCCCTGAAACTCTAAAAAATGCATGCACCTGTGGCTCAAGGAGTAGGGCACCAGCCCCATATACCGGAGGTGGTAGGTTCAAACCTAGCCCCAGCCAAAAACTGCAAAAAAAAAAAATACATACACTCCTCTACCACTCTGGAGTTATTCCTTCTGTTTTCCAGTCCAGAAATAATGTCTTTAACTTTTCAGTATGTATTTTAAAAATTAGCAGAAATAGATGAGATACTTAGATAATAGTCTTTGTGTCTAGTTCTTTTTTTTTTTTTTTTTTTAAGAAAAAGTCTCACTTTGTCACCCTGGGTGTAGAGTGCCTAGAACCACAGCTCACAGCAACCTCTAACTCTTGGGCTCAAGCAATGCTCTTGCCTCAGTCTTCCAAGTACAGGAGCATAATACCCAGTTTTTCTGTTTTTATTTTAGTTGAGACAGGGTCTTGTTCTTACTCAGGCTGATCTCGAGCCTGAGTTTAAGCAGTCCATCCTTCCAGAGTGTTGGGATTACAGGCTTGTGTCTAGTTCTTTTTAAAAACAGGGAAACATTTACTGCTGAAAGTCTTCTTCTTAAGGAAAGTGATATACCAGTTGAATATTGATTTTATTTAGAAACCAAGTAGATTTGTTTTGAAACATGTACCTTAGGGAATATATTTCTATTAAATAATATATTTGTATAGATTTTCTATATACTATTCTATAATACATTATTTCTATATAAATAATATATTTTTATTAAACCTTTAGGCTTTTTACTTATTTTTATTATAGATGATGCAAAAACTTTCTGGATGGAGCTAGAAGATGATGGAAAAGTAGACTTCATATTTGAAAAAGTACAAAGTGTGCTACAGACACTGAAACAAAAGATTAAAGATGGGTCTGCAACAAATAAAGGTATGGAGCCGTATAAACACTTAATACTTAACATTGCCCTCTGTTAATACAGTCTAATTCTATTTCCAACATAGTTGTTTTAAATTAAGTGAATATAGTTATTTGTGAATAATAGCTACTGAATTTATTTTTATCTCAGGCTGCTTTTTGTTTATTAGTATTTTTTTTGACACAGAGTCTCACTATGTTGCCCTGGTAGGGTACCCTTATGTCACAGCTCACAGCAAGCTCACACTCCTCGACTTAAGTGTTTCTCTTGCCTTAGCCTCCTAAGTAGCTGAGACTACAGGCGCCCACCGCAACACCTGGCTATTTTTTTGTTGCAGTTGTCATTGTTCTTTAGCAGGCCTGGGCCAGCCGTAAACCCGCCAGCCTCAGTGTATGTGGCCGGTGCCCTACTCACTGAGCTACAGGCACCGAGCCTCTCAGGCTGCTTTTACACCTTTGTGTCTTTTGGCAAGAAATGCTACAAAAGTAAAAGATACTCATTATATGACATTTGGCACTTACAAAAAAATAACAGAAAAATTATGCATTACCCCATCATTCAGAGACAACTAATTTTTTATGTATATATAGCAGTACATATAACCATATTTTGCCTGCTTTAAACAGAGCTGTCTCTACTAGTCTTCTGAAAGCAAAATTTGTGTTTTGCATAGGCAGTCAGTTCAGTCATCCAAGTTCTTATTTTTTCTCTTTGTGTTCAATTCTGGTTGGCTGCAGAACATAAGACTTCAGTACTGAATTCTCCTTCACTACATTAGGACATGTGGCGTAAAGTAAATTTTTCCCAACACTCTGCTTATACTTACTGAATATTCTTATTGCATTATTATATATTTGCCAAAAGAGTTGGTACTATTTTTTATTTTAATGTTCCTTCTCAATCCTTCATTAGTCATATGTACACATATCTAAGTTGGAATCCAGTTCTATGTCCTAGCTGAGTGGCTGGGAATAAACAGTTTAACCTCTGAGCCTCAGTTTCCTCGTCTTTAATACAGATAGTCTAACCTCTGAGGGGAATAATGAAGATCAAATGAAATAAATTATGAAAATTGTTTGGGACAGTAGCTGGCAGCATGAATAAAGACGATGGTTATGCTTTTATTCCTTTTTTTCTTTCCTTAACAGAATATATTCAAGCAATGATTCTAGTGAATGAAGCAACTATAAGTAACAGTTCAGCTTTGATAAAGGGTATGTATATCTTTAATCCCAGTCCAGAGGGTTCTCTGGTGTTTTCTAGCCAGGAGGCAGGCCAGCCTTCATATATCAGGTTAATCAAAGATAATTGAAAATAAAATGTAGGTTCCACATTTATAAGTTACGTCAATCACAGTTTTCTCTATTAAAGGAAAGATCCTGGCTCGGCGCCTGTGGCTCAAATGGCTAAGGCACCAGCCACATACACCTAAGGTGGAGGGTTTGAATCCAGCCCAGGCCCACCAAACAACAATGACGACTGTAACCAAAAAAAATAGCCAGGCATTGTGGCAGACGCCTGTGGTCCCAGCTACTTGGGAGACTGAGGCAGGAGACTCGCTTGAGCCCAGGAGTTGGGAGGTTGCTGTGAGCTATGATGTCACGGCACTCTACCCAGGGGGACAGCTTGAGGCTGTGTCTCAAAAAAAAAAAAGGAAAAGTCCTACTCATCCAGAGATAGGAAATGTGTACCAGCTAGGCATCCTAGGGAGAGAATGAACAAGTGTGTCATCTTCAAAAAACCTTCCCATATAAAGACAGTAATTAGAAATCTTAAGACTTAACTACTATGCTTTCTGTGAAGAATACTATTAGACCAATATATTCTAATATAAATAAGTTGGTGGAGGGCGGCACCTGTGGCTCAGTGAGCAGGGTGCCGGCTCCATATACCCAGGGTGGCAGGATGGAACCCTGCTCTGGCCAAATTGCAACAAAAATAAAATAGCTTGGCGTTGTGGCAGGCACCTGTAGTCCCAGCTACTCAGGAGGCTGAGGCAAGAGAATCGTCTAAGCCCAAGAGCTGGAGGTTGTTGTGAGCTGTGGCGCCACAGCACTCTACTGAGGGGAACAAAGTGAGACTCTGTCTCTTTAAAAAATAAATAAATAAATACATTGGTGGATAATTTTTAGATTGTTTTTAGACTATCAGTCTTTCAAGTTCTAAACGAATTCAATTTAGAAGAATCAGTGATAAATATTAAAACTGTTTTTCTATTCGTAATACTTCTGATACCAAATGTGTGAGTTTTCCACACCAAGCAATTCTGCAATTTTCTGTGGACACCAATGGTGTACTATTTAATTCCATTCTGCCACTACCCAGAGTTAGCACAGACCCCTCAGGTCAAGGGCTCAGTCCCACAAAACTTTTTCCTATTACAAATGCCAGTCATGAGTCCTGGGCTCTGACTTTTCTGACTAACTCAGCTACAAATCTGGGGTTCACACAACCGCTCCACAGATTCCCTAAATTTGCTATAATGGTTTGCAGAACTCTGGGAAACACTTTACTTACTAGTAACAGTTTATTATGAAGGATGTTCTGAAGGATACAGATGAAGAGGAGGAAGTCTGGAAGGACCCTGAATATGGGACCTTTTCTCCCTGTGGACTTTGCCCGCCCTTGTCCACCCTGTACGTGGATGTATTCACCTCCCTGAAAGGTCATTCAGAGGTTTTATGGCAGTCTCATAACATAGACATGATACATTAAGTTATTGGCCATTGGTGATTAGCTCAGTCTCCTGTTCCTTTCCCCTATCTGGAGATGAGGGCAGGGTAGAAGATAAAAAGTTCTAAAGTGCTTTGGTGGAAGTGGCTTGATCTTCCTGACAACTAGCCCACATCCTGAAGCTGTCTAGGGACCCACATCTTCAGTCATCTCATTAGCATAACCAAAGAAACGCTTATCATGCCAGAGATTCTAAAGATCTTAGAGGCTCTTGTATGAAGAAATGGGGACAAAGACCAAATATGATACCAGATGATGCTCCTGTCAGCCTTTCACTCAGGAAATAATAAGGGTTTTACAACTCTGTCAGGAGCCAGGGCAGAGACCTGTCAGCCTAAGTCAGATTCTAACTTAAAGGGAGTTTATTCAAGCACAAAGTTGAGGGATGACCTATCCAGAAACACTGCCTCTAAAAGAATATAGTCAAGTGTTCCCAAGTCAATGTTAAGATTTCATTTATATAGGCAGAGATGGGAATTTTTAGCAGGATTACAGCATTTTCATACAAGGTTGGCATATATTTACGGCAATTTGATCAGTTATAGGCGGTGTTTCTTTTGGGAAAGGTTACATTTATCATTTTTTACAGAGGATATAATAGTAAGGGTTTTCTGTCATCTGGTCTAAGCAAAGTAGGATAACTAGGGGAAAGTTAATCTATAACAAGGGCCATTAATTAACAAGGTAGGAGATTTTTGTCTCCAACCTCCTTTTACTCTTGTCATTGTACAGAACAAGAAAAATAGGAAATCAAGTAATCTATAATCTAAGAAACATAAGCTGTTGACCTTATGTGACTCAGATCACAGTCACCTGTCAGGGTTTCAGGTGGTTCCAATAGCTTTGAAATTATTTATTTTCACAGACCAAATATATATTTCTTATTATGTTACATGTACTAAGATGTAAAAAGAAAAATGGAAGTTATTTTATCAGAATCACTATTCCATAGATCATATTCTATCACAAATTTGCCAGTGTATTGAGGAAGTGCATTCATTAGATTTTATTTAATGCTATTAGATATCGTCAACAAATTATATTTATTTATTTATTTTTGAGATGGAGCCTCACTTTGTTGCCCTGGGTAGAGTGCTGTGGCGTTACAGCTCATAGCAACCTCAAACTCTTGGGCTTAAGCAATTCTCCTGCCTCAGCCTCCCAAGTAGCTGGGAATACAGGCACCCTTCACAATGCCCGGCTATATTTAGAGATGAGGTATTGCTCTGGCTTAGGCTGGTCTCAAACCTGTGAGCTCTCAGCTTCCCGAGTACTGGGATTATAGGCATGAGCCACGGTGCCTGGCCTAACAAATTTGGATAATTTTTATTTTACTGTCATGATTTTGATCCTTAAGGCTTTTAAATCTCTGAAAATGTAGCCTAGCATCACCACTCTGTTTCTTTAACCTTTTGTTATTCAAAAGCATTCTCAATTTTAGTAGCTAAAGTGTAGTTTTAGAAGAATAGCTTCTTGGACTGGATGTGGTGACTCATACCTGTAGTCCTGGCCCTCTGAGCGGCCGAGGCAGGTAGATCGCCTGAGAAAGAGCAAGATCTTTTTTCTACTAAAAATAGAAAGACTAGGCTCAGCGCCATTTGCTCAGTGGTTAGGGCGTTGGCCACTTACAGCAGGGGTTCAAACCCTGGCCTGAGCCTGCCAAACAACAATGACAACTACAGCAACAACAAAAAAATAGCTGGGTGTTGTGGCGGGTGCCTGTAGTCCCAGCTACTTGGAAGACTAAGACAAGAGAATTGTTTGAGCCCAAGAGTTTGACGTTGCTGTGAGCTGTGATGCCATGGCACTCTGCCAAGGGTGACATAATGAGACTCTGTCTCAAAAAAAAATAGAAAAAATAGCCAGGCATGGTAGTGGGCAACTGTAGTGCCAGTACCCTGGAGGCTAAGGTAGGAGTATCAATTGAGCCCTGGAGTTTGAGGTTTCTATGAGCTGTGACACCATAACACTCTACACAGAGTGACAGAGCGAGAATGAGACTCTCTCAAAAAAAAAAACAACAAAAAAGTAGCTTCTTGAAGAAAACAGTCTCTCTTTCACAATAGCCTTCAACTAGCACTTAGAATTATAGAGGAGGAAACCTTTTTTTTTCACCACTATCCTAAGGAGGAAAAGAAAACTTTTTGCCTCTCCCAGTGACTGGGGGTTGAGGCTGTGAATGTGAATTAAACTGACAAAAGACAGCTTTTCATTTATTCATTCATTCATGTATTTATTTATTTTGAGATGGAGTTTCATTCCTTTGCCCCAGGCTAGAGTACAGTAGCCTTAGCCTAGCTCACTGCAACCTCAAACTCCTAGGCTTAAGCAATCTTCCTGCCTCAGCCTCCCAAGTAATTGGGACTACAGGCACCTGCTACAATGCTCTGCTTATTTTTCTATTTTTACTGGAGATAGGGGTTCACTCCTGCTCAGGGTGGTGTGGTCTCAAACTCCTGAGGTCAGACAGTCCTCTAACCTCACCTTCCCAGAGTGCTGGGATTACAGATGTGAAGCACCATCACACCTGGCCCAAAAAACAGATTAAGGAAAAAGGCATATAACACTGTTAACTTTTAATTTTATCCCTATACATATGTATAGGAACATCACAGTAAGAAGTGAATACCCAAAGCAGTAGTGAGATTTGAGAGCGTAGTATACCAACCTTAATAGGTGAAAGGGAGGGGAAGAAGGGCTTTCCGGAGGAACAAATGACTTTTTAGGAAAGGGGGAGAGAGAGACAGAACTTAAGAAAGCACAGATGACTTCTGAAAGATAAATGGACCCTGAGGAGAATAAGTGGGGGTTATGATAGTTTTTAACAGTGCCCGTTTGAGTGTGTGCCAACTTGCTCTGCTCTCCTGTGATGAGAGTCAGTCTTTTTTGGTGGATGAAAGTTTAGGGGAGGGAATTTATGACAGTTGAGGGTTTTTTTTGTTTGTTTTGTGGTTTTGGTTTTTTTTTTTTTGAGTATCTGGTCTTTAGACAGAAAATGGAAAGTTCAGAGAATACCTCTTCCTGCATTTATTAATTCTCAGATGTCTTCATTTCAAAACAATTCTTATGTTGGTACAGCACAACTAGAGAATCCTTTAGGGATTATATTAGTTTTGCAAGAGAGGCAATAACAGGCAACCAATTCTAAACATTTTTTTCTTTCAGAAATGATTTATTTTCCAATAAAAGTAGTTTTAGATCTTTTGAGGTAATTTCATGAGTCAGCATGCTGAATATTATAATTTCACATTTTTATAGTTTGTTCATCTGAAATGTAACAAACTTATCAAAATAACAGTATATCTGTTTACCAGTGGTGGAGAAATGTTTTTAATTAATGGGAAGAGTTGTGTAATTGATAACTTTTGGCAAATACAAGGATTAGAAACATTCCAGTAATAAAAAAGTTTCCTGCATTTATTTTAAAAAGAATTGTGAAGCTGAATAAAACAAAAGACTTGGTGTTGAGGCCAAAACAAGCCATCCTGGATCTAGCATAGACCACCCAGGCTGTGAATAACTCATGCAGTGATTCAAGCTGGGAAAAAATTTAGAAATTCCTAATTTGTAAAAATTAATTTCTAATTAGTTGCCACAAAATAAGGGCATCCAAAAAAATTTCTAATTAATTATTATACCTCTCTTTAACTGTCACGTTTTAAACATACTTTCTCTACCTCATTAGCCAAGGCGCCTTCTTGGTTTATTTGTTTATTTTTATACATGGAGTCTTGTTCTAATCCTCAAGCCTTGCTTAGTGTATAACTTAAAATATTCTTTTATTTACTTGAATGTTTTTTATTGTTTTAGTAAAATTGTTATAATGCTAAAGGCCCAGTGTGATGTCAGTGACACTTCACTTGACCAAACTTGTGTCAGACTCCTGAGCTTCCTTCTTAGCCCGTCTTGAGTATGGTTGTACCTCTTGACCCACCATTTCACTTTCCAAGGTTTCCATTACCCCAGGTCAACCATGATCTGAAAATATTAAATGGAAACTTCCAAAAACAAATGTTAAGTTTTAAATTGTGCACCAGTCTGAGTAATGGGATGAGATCTCTCCCTGTCTTGCTTTGCCTGGTCCTGAGCCATCCGTTTGTCCAGTGTATCCGTGCTGTGTGTGCTGCCCACTTGTCAGTTACAAGAAGGGTGAGTACTGGACAGGAAGGCATTTCACAAGAGAGAAAGACCACATTCACATAATTTTTATTACAGTATATGGTTACAATTGTTTTATTTTTATTGTTAATCTCTTACTGTGTCTAATTTATAAATTAAACTTTATTAACAATGTAATGTTTATAGAGAGAGAGTTCAGGACTATCTAAGGTTCTAGGTATCTATTGGCAGTATTGGAATGTATCCCCTCAGTATAAGGGAAGACTACTGTACTTCCTTGTAAAATCCCATTTTTGTAGGAATCCTGCTAAGTCATTTAGTAAAAACGCCCTACCCTTGATATCTGACCACCCTAGTCTGACTTCAGCAAGAATCTTGTTAGGTCGGTTTAGCCCAAATCCCTCTGTCCCCTGGTGTTTTCTCTCAGTAATTTTCCATCCACTTCTCCTCCCCCTGCCCCTTGGCTGTAAATTCCCAGTAGACCAAGCTCTAGTCAGAATTAAGCCCAGTCTCCCTCCCTCATGGCAAAATCCCATTGCAGTAGTCCTATACCTATTGTAATAGTCCTGAATAAAGTTCACTGTACCTTTTTTTGTTTTTTGCTTTAAGACAAAGTCACACTCTGTTGCCCAGGCTGGAGTGTAGTGGCATTGTCATAGCTCACTGCAGCCTTTAACTCTTGGGCTCAAACAATCCTCCAGCCTCTGTCTCCTGAGTATAAAGGACTATAGGCACATGCCACCGTGCCCAGCTACTTTCCATTTTCACTTTATTTTTAAGAAATAGGTTCTCGGCTCGGAGTCTATAGCTCAACCGGCTAAGGCGCCAGCCACGTACACCTAAGGTGGCGGGTTCGAATCCCCAGCCTGGACCCGCCAAACAACAATGACAGCTGCAACCAAAAAAAAAAAAAAATAGCCAGGCATTGTGGCGGGCGCCTGTGGTCCCAGCTACTTGGGAGGCGGAGGCAGGAGACTCGCTTGAGCCCAGGAGTTGGAGGTTGCTGTGAGCTGTAATGCCACGACACTCTACCCAGGGGGACACTTGAGGCTCTGTCTCAAAAAAAAAAAAGAAAGAAAGAAATAGGTTCTCACTGTGTTGCCCAGGCTGATCTCAAACTCTTGGCCTCAAGAGATCCTTCTTCCTTGGCCCCCCCAAAGTGCTGGGATTACAGATGTGAGCCACTGTGCCTGGCCTTTATTGTGCTATAACAAATAACACTGAATCATTTTTTCCAACAACATGACAATCTTAAGTGAGGATAAGAATAAACCTTTTTACATTAGGTCCATCAGTTAATAAGGAAAAGTCAGCAGGCTTGGTGCCCATAGCTTAGTGGTTAGGGTACTGGCCACATGCACTGTGGCTGGTGGGTCTGAACCCCTCCTGGGCCTGCTAAACAACAATGACAACTATAAAAAAAAAGTAGCCGGGCATTATGGCAGGCGCCTGTAGTCCCAGCTACTTGGGAGACTGAGGCAAGAGAATTGCTTGAGCCCAAGAGTTTAAGGTGAGCTGTGATGCCATGGCATTCTATTGAGGGCAACATAGTGAGACTCAAAAGTCAGCAGAAAATGTATGGGAAAAAGTGTTAAGCTAAACATAAACTGACCCACATGTCTACTTTTAATAATAATAGGAAATCTCTAACTTTTTTCATTAAATACACACATTTATTTCTAGATTACATTCATAATGGAGGATAAAAATGGATGAAATATAAAAGTCAAGAAATGAAATAAAATTAAGTGTAAAAAGATATGTAAAGAAATACAAAAGGCCCAACCCTTAACTTCGGAGAGGCAGTGTGGCTCCTCTGGGCCCTTCCTCCTCACCTTCTTTGGCTTCCTCGGCCTCCTTGTCTACCACAGGAACCCAAGACCCCTGTGTGTGCCCCACCCCGGCTCAGCAGCACCTCATCAGGATTTCCAGGGGTTGCAGGAGGAGCCTCCTGCTGGAGTCAGCTGGGCTCCATCCCAGAACAATATAATGGTTTGGAACTCCATCATTTGGGGGCCTGAAGGGACTCCATTTAAGGACAGAACATTTAAGCTTACAATAGAATTCGCTGAAGAATATCCAGATAAACCACCTACAGTTAGATTTGTCTCTAAAATGTCTCATCCAAATGTCTATGCAGATGGTAGTATATGTCTGGACATACTTCAGAACCATTGAGCCCAGCTTACGATGTGTCTTCCATTTTAACATTCATACATTCTCTGTTGGATGGACCCAATCCCAGTAGTCTAGCAAACAGCCAGGCTGCCCAGCTGTACCAGGAGAACAAGTGGGAATATGAAAAGTGTGTTTCTCCAATAGTAGGACAGAGCTGGCGTGATTGTTTCCCCTGGGTGCAGCAAAAGAGGCCGGGTATCAGAAAAATACATATTGATGTGTTTGTCACCTTCCTGTTCTCCGGTGTCATTATATTTACCTTATGAAAAGCAAAGTAGCTGTTGTGCTGTTTCCATCTTCCTTTGCCAAGCCTTTCCTGCCCCTTCTGTCTTCTCCGTGAACATCTGAAAACACCCTCTATGAAATCAAATGTACCTGGGTTACTTGCAAAAATTACTAATGCTTAATTGCTTTTCTGTTGTATCTCATCTCCAGGCTCTGAGAAGTTAATTTTGTTACTGTGCTTTACACTAAGCCTTTAAAATGAATTGTTACACAGGTGCGGCTTATGCATAGCTTGGTGACCAGGATGCCATTTTAACAAAATGTTTGCTGAAGTGTTTCATCCTGGCTCGGTGTTTCATCCTGGCTCGTCCTTCTCTTGTGTTGAGTGGATTTAGGAGTGAATGGATTTGGAATATGGTCTATAGGAAACAGAAAAACAAATCCATGTAAACATCAATTTTGAAAGGTTAATGGAAGCTCAAAATTGCTTGCTGCTAAGATTATGTGGTATGAACTATAAGATAGTGTTTAATAGTCGGAAGAATGTTGAAGGTCTCAGCCAATGTAGTGCAACAGTCACTGTAACTGACACATCCTCTCTGTGCAAGATACCATTGGACACTCCTATGCTAAATTTCAATACTGGTGTTTGAGGGGATTTTGCTTTGTTTTAAAGAGGTATGGGAGCAGAGGAATGGAAATTCGTCAGTTTTTGAGCTAGGGAAAGGTGGATATCTTTTTTTTTTTTTTTTGAGACAGAGTCTCACTATATTGCCCTCAGTAGGGTGCCTAGGCATCATAGCTCACAGCAACCTCAAACTCTTGGGCTCAAGTGATTCTCTTGCCTCAGCTTCCCAAGTAGCTGGGACTACAGGCACCTGCCACAATGCCCAGCTATTTTTTTGTTGCAGTTGTTTACCTGGCCTGGGTCAGGTTCGAACCTGCCACCTTAGGTGTATGTGGCTGGTGCCATAACCACTGTGCTGTGGGCACTGAGCCAAGGTGGACATCTTTTAATATTTTCAAAAGAGCAGTGCTGTCCTAGATGAACAAACTTAATGGTCCTCCATCTTTTTTTTTTTTAAGTTTTAATTAAGGGACTATATCTGGAAAATTAATTTCCACTAAATCCTGAGTTATTACTGCTTGCTTTGGTGTTTTCTTCCCTTTCAGCATTATGAGAACCTTAAAGCCAACACCTGCATCTTCCTTTGGATATTTACACTTTTAAATATACAGCACCTTTAAGTAGCAGTGTGGGTCGAGGTTTGCGAATGTTTTATCTAATGTGCCATTGACACCTTTTGTGCAGTTATACTCGTCCAACTCTTAACTTTGCACAAGTAACCCATGTAAAAAATGTAAATTTTTCAAGACTTGTAAATAAAACTAACCTTACAATTAAAAAAAAAAAAAGAAATACAAAAAGATAAATAGAAGGCTAAAAAGAAATACCCAAATACTTCAAACCCACTTCCAAAATACAGTTGTAGAACAATGGAAAAACAAAACATACGTAAACTTTCCATTTCTAATCTTTAATAGAGCCTTGAAGAATTCTGTTATTAAATACAAAAGTAGGGATACTTGATGTTCACCTTAAAGGTTGATTAAAATGCAGATCAAGTTCAGGGCAATTTGGAATTTCTCTAGTAGAATTCTAAGTGATTTATCTTATATTAATGGTTTTGAAAATATTTACATGTAATTTTTTGGCTCAATTTTGAAATCTTAATATGTTTGCTAATTTGGGGGCTTTATATGGGCAGAATCTCTAGTAAATGAAGGTATTATTTGGATATTCTAGTGATTTTTAAGTTGGTATACTTGTTGCTCACATTTGTGTTTTTTGTGTTTGTGTAGATCATATACCTGTGACTCAGAATGAACAGGAAAAGCAGTCAAATACATTTCCTTCTACATCATATGAAAACTTTCCAAAAGACTGTGCACGTCTGTATGTATCTAAATTACTCATGTTTATGTTTTTGCTTCTACAAAGAGATTTACTCTTTCTAATAATTTGACATTAGATGAGATAAAATACATAATAAAAGATTCTTTCTCTTTAAAGTTAGAAATTTTAGTATTTATGTAGGATGAAGTTTCTTGAGTCTCTTAATAGGTTATTTACTTGTTACTTATTGATTGCCTAGGCAATCAAGTCTTTTTATAAAATTTAGCTTAAGATGTCTTTGCATATTTCGTTAATACAAAGAAATCTAGTTGTTTCTTTTGTTTCCTGAATTATGTGGAGTAATAAAAAGGGTTGAAGTGCTTATTTCATTATCAGTTCAGGGGTTTTCTTTTTTTGGAGACAGAGCCTCAAGCTGTCCCCCTGGGTAGAGTGCCATGGCTTCACTGCTCACAGCAACCTCCAACTCCTGGGCTCAAGCGAGTCTCCTGCCTCAGCCTCCCAAGTAGCTGGGACCACAGGCGCCCGCTACAACGCCCGACTGTTTTTTGGTTGCAGCCATTATTGTTGTTTGGCAGGTCCGGGCTGGATTCGAACCCGCCACCTTAAGTGTATGTGGCTGGCGCCTTAACTGCTTGAGCCACAGGCGCCGAGCCATCAGTTCAGTTTTTAAAATGTATGATAGCTCTAATGTAGTGTCAGAAAATTTTAGGGAGGGCTGAGCACGGTGGCTCATGCCTATAATCCTAGCACCCTGGGAGGCCGAGGTGGGTGGATTGCCCTGAGCTCTGGGATTCAAGACCAGTCTGGGCAAGAATGAGACCCTGGCTAAAAAAATAGCTGGGCATTGTGGCAGGCACCTATAATCACAGCTACTTGGGAGGCTGAGTCAAGAGGATTGCTTGAGCCCAAGAGTTTGAGGTTGCTGTGAGCTATGACATCATGGCACTCTACTGAGGGTGACAAAATGACACTCTGTCTCAAAAAAAAAAAAAAAAGAAAAATTTAAGGGGAAGTCCAAATTTTTCTGACCTTCCCCTTTTCCCTTTTATCATTATTATCAGTAAAAGTTCCTTAGCATAGGGGTGGCACCTGTGGCTCAAAAGAGGTAGGGCGCCAGCCCCATATGCCAGAGGTGGTGGGTTCAAACCCAGCCTGGCGAAAAAAAAAAGTTCCTTAGCATAAATGAGGATTGTACAAGAGAGACACTCGGTTACCTAGTCTTCATTTTTACTAAGTTAGGTAATGCCTGCACCAAAACTTTCACATACTAATTAAAAGGAATTTTCTGAAAGTATGTTGTCCTGGATCAGAACACATAGTCTAAAAAAATCTTTTAAAATTCTTAAATAGGCCAGGTGTGGTGCCTCATGCCTATAATCCCAGCACTCTGGGAGGCCAAGGCTGGTGGATCACTTGAGCTCACGAATTCAAGACCAGCCGAAGCAAGAGCAAGACCCCATCTCTACTGAAAAAATGAAAAACTGAGGCAAAAAGGATTGCTTAAGTCCAAGAGTTTGAGGTTGCTGTGAGCTGTGATACCAATAGCACTCTACCAAGGATGACAAAATAAGACTCTATCTCAAAAAAAAAAAAAAAAAAAAACCCCAAAACTTAAATAGTTACTCCAACTCCAATTTCATCTGTCATTTCAGCTACATATTAAATTGGCAAAAAAGAAGTGTTTTTTCATTTTAGTGGCTATGAGAGTTGTAGATAAACACTATTTCATATGATTTGTATTTTACAAACACTAGAGATAGCATTACAGTTTGAGTGAGTCTAAAAGACTCATAAAACTTATTTTTAAATGCTCTGAAAGAAAGCTAAGTTTATACTTTTATGACTTAATTGGCCATTTTAGTAGCTCACAAAACAAATGTTTTCTTGAAATTCTGATCTTCTAATGTATAGCATAAAATTTCATTAGTTTTTAAGAGCACATTTAGTCACTCTAAATCACTGAAGTATATGGGTTTCTAAATATAAATTATCACCAACAAGGTCTTTGACGAAATATTGTTCAAATGTTCATATATTTAGACAGCTATATTGTAAATCTAAATGCAAGAAGAGTTGGCGTATTCCTGTTAAGTATGGCTTTTTGGTTTAAGTTTGTTATGCCAAGTTAACAGAATCTTTTTGAATTTTAGATGTGTTATCTAATATTTTCTATACTTTCTAGCTTATATTGTACAAAGAAAAGTACTTTCTAGTGGTTATTATGGTCCCTGAAAACGATACTGAACAGGACATGACCACAAACAATACCTGTGGCTGCCAGAGACCTCATTTTATTACGCTTCAGAAAGAAAACCATTCAGCCAGCTGTGGATGTATTGACTTGTACTTGTGTCCCACCTCCTCCTCTCTCTCATAAGGCTATGGTACGAAGTTAAGGGTCACTGCTAGAGCATCATAGAGCATTACCAAATTTTATCAAAATTTATTGAAAACTTTATCATGAAGGAAAATTCCATTAATTTGGACTTTTTTTCTCACCTCGTTGTTGACTCCAGACCTAGTGTTGGCTTTTTAAGATCCTAAGTGTTTAGAAATCACACACTTCATATTCTCTTTCAGAAATTTCTAAGAGATCAGTATTAAACTTATCATCTTGTACTTTCTGGAATTTCTTTTCTCCCTAGACAGAATCTCACTCTAAAGCCCTGGGAGTAATTTCCTGGCATCATAGCTCACAGCAACCTCAAACTCCTTGGCTCAAGCGATTCTCTTGCCCCAGCCTCCAAAGTAGCTGGGACTATAGGTGCCTGCCACAGCACCTGGCTATTTTTAGAGGCGGCGTCTCGTTCTGGCTCAGGCTGGTCTCAAACCTGTGAGCTCAGGCGATCCACCCATCTTGGCCTTCCAAGTGCTGGGATTACCGGTGTGAGCCACCAGGGTTGGCCATGGCTATTTTTTCTAATTTTAATAGAGACAGGGTCTGACTTTTCCTCAGGCTGATCTCAAACTCCTGAGCTTGGGTGAGTGACCCGCCTCCGCCTCCCAGGGTGCTAGGATTACAGGTGTGAGCCACCATGACTGGCCCTAGTGAAACATTTTAAAATGGTTTTTGTTCTGTGTTTGAAGTTTTTGCAGGACCTTGAGATTTTATTTGGGTATAAAGTATTAAGTATGTTTAAATATAGTTGGTTCTAATACCCTCTTATTAACTTTCACGGACTTCAACTTCTTTTCAATTTTGTCTGTTGTTTCTCACTTACAGACGAAAGTATTTTCATTTATTTTTATTTTTTATTTTTAGAAACTGTCCTCTTGTCTCTGTTATTAGTTAACCTTTTGCTGTCTTTTCCCAACATTATTATTTTGTACAAGCATAGCTTTACAAATTTTTGTTGTTTTATTAGCATTATTTGGAGTTCTTACTAGGCTTGTGTCTTTGTGATACCTAAAGGTTCGCACCAATTTTTTTTTTTTTTTTTGAGAGAGTCTCACTTTGTCACCCTTGGTAGAGTGTCGTGGTGTCATAGCTCACAGCAACCTCAAACTCTTGGGCTTAGGTGATCCTCTTGCCTCAGCCTCCCAAGTAGCTGGGACTACAGGCGCCTACCACAACGCCTAGGGACACACTGATATTTGTATTCATAATTAGTCATCTTTTCTTTTGTACATATTCTTTTAAATATCTGAGCTTCCTAAATAACTTAAATTGGTTCTCTAACCCTGGGGGCAAATAGAGGAACTGGATCAGACCACAGGCCAGCGAGTGAAGCTTCCTCTGTATTGAAGCTGCTCTCATCTCTCCTCATTGCCCGCCTCAGCTCCACCTCCTGTCGTTGAGTGGAGGCATTAGATTCTCAGAGGAGTGCAAACCCTACTGTAAACTGCATCTGTGAAGGATCCAGGTTGTATGCTCCTTCTGAGAATCTACTGCCTAATGATCTCAGATGGAGATGTAATACTCTTGAATTGTTCCAGAACCATACTTCCCTCCCTGGGAAAATTGTCTTCCATGAAACTGTGTTCTCTTGTGCCAAAAGGCCTGGGGGCCACTGCTCTACTTTCCCATCTCATTAGGGATATTTGTGATTCTGTAACCAGAACTTCATTTCCTGGAACCTCCCATCCCTCACGTGCTCTACTCCCACTCAGAGAGGCTCTGTGCGTGAGATCACACCTGCCTTTGAGTTGGACTCTGAGGTCCCTTTTTCAGATGAAGGGACGTGTCTTATTAGGCTCAGGATTTTCTTCCTTTGCTGTTAGGAATTCCAAGGCCACATTTCATTGTTAACCAGAATCAAATTTAAATAAATCCTTTGTTTTTAAGAGACAGAGTCTTACTCTCTCACCCTGGCTACAGTGCCATGGCCTCAGCCTCACTCACACCTCCAACTTCTGGGCTGAGGCAGCCCTCCTACCTCACCCTCTTGGTGGCATGTACCACCATTTCTGGCTAATTTTTCAATTTTTTGTAGAGATGGGTATTGCAGTCTTTTTCAGGCTGGTCTTGAACTCCTGATCTCCAGCAGTCCTCCTAGAGTGTTAGGATTATAGGTATGAGCCACCACACCAGGACTTAAATAATTCCTTTTGTATTTCCTCTGCATGTCACAAATTTATTACTTCTTTTGCTTTTTCAGTAGCTAAACTCCTTAGCAGGGCAGTCATTACATAGACTGACTGGTAAACTAAATGATTAGTAGCTTAAGGCCAGGGCTTTTTAACCCCACCTGAATTATGCAAGTTATATAATTTGTCAATGGCAAAACAGGGATGGAAATCTTAGGTCTAATATGAAAAAGGCTTTTTATTCTTGAGTTGAATGAATTTCTGCTTCATGTGCTTTAAGTGATAGTTCTTTTGAGAGGATATCTATTTTTGTTTGTGATTTTAGGAAACTTGACTTAATTCTTTTTCTTAGTCATGTACTTTGGTTTGTCTGAAGTACATATCTACTCAGGCTAGTTTAAGTAGTGGAATTAGAGATGTATCCAGTATACAGCTCTGGGTAACATATAGGGTGAAAGTGGTCTTGCCCCATTGTTAAAGCTATAAATTTAAGCCATTTGGCTTTCACATGGCATGCACACAAACCTGAAAGATTATTTGAAAAATATATATACACACATGTACCTATACACATACACACACATAAATAAAAGTGGTGTTGAAGAACCAAAAATATAACACAGCAGGCCACATAGGCACTCAAATTGGGACTGCAACGTCAGTACCCGGCCTGGGCACGGTGGCTCATGCCTGTAATCCTAGTGCTCTGGAAGGCCAAGGCAAGAGGACTGATTGAGGGCAGGAGTACAAGATCAGCCTGAGCAAGAATGAGACTCCATCTCTACTAAAAATAGAAAAACTAGTCCCAGGTACTTGAAAGGCTGGGACAGGAGAACTGCTGGAGTCCTGGGGTTTGAAGTTGCAGGGAGCTATGATGCAACCACTGCGCTCTAGCCTGGGTGGCAGAGTGAGATCCTGCCTCAAAAAGGAAGAAAAGTCACTTCCTAAGGTCAACGTTTATACCATCTCAGCTCTACCCAGGGTGTCCACAAAACTGCCCCTGAAGTCACCATACATAGGGGAAATGGGAAATTATAGGTAATTGTACCTCTGTTTACAAAATAATTATTATAAAATTTTACAAAATATTCTCTATGTGTTGGCCACCTGTTTGTAATGACTATTTTGTAAATAAAGGCCCATTCAGCTACAGTTTCTCATTTCCCCTATGGCAGGCACATCAGAGGCAGGTTCTGGGACATCTTGTATCTCTCTCCATCTGTTAACAGTTTTTTCTTTTCCCACATGATCTAACACAGCTGCCCCAGCTAAACTCTGCACAACATTCATGATATTTATTTTTATATGCTAATTTAAGTTCTTGAGAAAGACGATATAAATAGCCCAGTATATACGAGTCCCAACATCTTTGGAGTACGCTCAAGTAAATATGGCCGCTTTGCAGAAGGGACAACCAAAGAAGGGGCTGGGCAAAGAACAGATGTCTGCTGCAGTCCTTAAGAGGAGCGCACGTTACTTTTGTTTTTTAAAATATGCCCCGTTCAAGGCCAAAAGCTAGACAATCAGTTAGCAGTCCCTGAAGTCGCGCTCCACCTTAAGTTCAAGTTGACTAATGACAGACAGTTGTCAAGCCACATACAGACTGAGAAACTCTTATCCCAAGGCTGGAAAGTAGCTGCTGACAATACTGGAGAGCCATACTTACCTCTCAGCCTATGTTTACCTCTAGAAGGTCAATCATTAATTTTATGGTACTGTGTATAGGTTTTCTGGGGGTTTTTTTCCAGTAATATATCTTTATACCTAAAAAAATTTAACCTTCCTCTCCATGTGGAGATAAAATTAGGTTAATTTATATCTGAGACTTGTGGTAAGTTGGTTTTCTTCTTCTATTTAATAAAAAATAAGGCATAGAGGGCAGTGCCTGTGGCTCAAAGGAGTAGGGCGCCGGCCCTATATTCTGAAGGTGGCAGGTTCAAACCCAGCCCCGTACAAAAACTGCAAAAAAAAAAAAAGACATAGATAAGGAAAGAATCATTTTAACCACATGAGAGAAAACCACAATTAAGTTCAAGAAGGGGGAGGGGGCTCAGTAAGCCCACCTAATGGGCCCAGTGCATGGGTATGTGGCATGCCTCCTGGGTAAAGGACTCAACTACACCTCAGACTTTACCTGGCAACCACAAACAATGTACCCTATTTGTATGTACCCATATATTAATCTGAAGTAAAATTTAAAAAAAGGATCATTTTAAGATTCATGCTAGTGTTTTGTTTCTACATTTTCCTGCTTCTAGTTTTCTGAAAGCTGTTTCTCCCACTGTTAATTGCTCTGTAACTAGAGCTTTACTTCTCTTATTTTTTATTAAATTAGTCATAAGAAGAATACTTTTAAGCCAGTTTGTCTTATTAAGTTCACTGTTTTATATGTGTTTGGTTTGTGGCACCTCAAAACAATCAATAATAATAACATCACTGTCTTTGGCCTTTTGGCTAAGAGCAAGGTAGTATCTGTCCTAAACAGTTTAAGGTCTGATGGATTCTGTATGTGAGACAATATACATACTAAATGGATTTTGGAGCAAGGAGGTAGAACGGGAGCTTACTCTGTCCTCTTTACACATCAGCCTGGTGTTGCAGTACCTCTAGGAATGGTGCTCTCCTCCTGCACAAAAACACTAACACCAAATATCCCTGGACCCAGGTCACCAGAACAGATACAATACTGAGGAAAAAGTTCACAGTATTGTGAGAATTAACATGGTGTTCCCACATAGTTTTGGGAAAACGGCATTGATAGAATTGCTCAAAGCAGGGTTACAACAACCTTAGAAAAAATCTATTGTAAGGTGTAACAAGGCAAAACACAGCAAACCAAGGATTGCCTATATAAGAGTATCTTTTTCTTTGCATTCCCTGTAGCATTTGTTAATTTGTGTGTGTGTTTTGGGTTTTTTGTGGGTTTTTTTTTTTTTTTTTTTTTGAGTAGGGAGACAGAGTCTCACTGTTGCCCAGGCTAGAGTGCCCGGGCATCAGCCTAGCACACAGGAACCTCTAAACTCTTGGGTTTATGTGATCCTCCTGCCTCAGCCTCCCAAGTAACTAGGACTACAAGTGCATGCCACAATGCCTGGCTAGTTTTTTCTATTTTTAGTAGAGATGGGGTCTTACTCTTGCTCAGGCTGGTCTGGAACCTGTGAGCTCAGGCAGTCCACCTGCCTCAGCCTCCCAGAGTGCCAGGATCACAGGTGTGAGCCACCGTGCCAGGCAAGGATTTTTTTTTTAAATATGGTAGACAGGGGAGGGTGCAGTGGCTCACGCCTGTAATCCTAGCACTCTGGGAGGCCAAGGTGGGGTGGATCCCTTGAGCTCAGGAGTTTGAGACCAGCCTGAGCAAGAGTGAGATCCCATGTCTACTAAAAAAAAAAATGAAATACTAAGGCAAGAGGATCACTTGAGCCCAAGAATTTGTGGTGGCTGTGTGCTACAATGCCACAGCACTCTACTGAGGGTGACAAAATGAGACTTTTATCTCACCCCACCCCCAAGAAAAGGGTAGACAATATATTTATCAAATCAACAGCCAATACCCTACATCTTATATATTGATGAAACCTTAGAAGTATTTCCTTTAAATGAATATTAATGGCAATATGGCTGCTATCATAATTGTTATTCAGTATTTTTCTAGAAATTCTAGCCAATATAATACAGTGTCAAAGAAAATATGATTATTGAAATATACAGAGTAAAATTATTTGTGGATAATCTTATACACCTAGAAAATTTAAAATTCAAGTGTAAATTTTTTTTTTAATTGAATGGTAACTATGTACATTAATGTACTTCTGGGGTACAGTGTGGGGTTTTCACATGCAATCCAAAATACTTCCAACAAACTGGTCAACACAGCCTTCATGTCATTTTCTCAGTTATTGTTTTAAAACGTTCACATTCTACTCTTAGAAAGATTCACTTGTACCCCTTGTAAGGTAAACCTCAGAAGTGATCCCTCCAATCCCTCTCCCTCCACCCATTCACCCCCCTTCTCCCTCACCCCTCCCCATATTCTTAGGCTATTTGGTTATAGCTTTCATATAAAAGGTATAAATTAGTTTCATAATAGGGGTATGTACATTGGATACTTTTTCCTCCATTCTCGTGATACTTTGCTCAGAAGAACATTCTCTAGCTCCATCCATGTGAACATGAAGGATGTAAAGTCTCCATCCTTCTTAATGGCTGCATAGTATTCCACGGTGTACATATACCACAGTTTGTTGGTCCATTCATGGATCGATGGGCACTTGGGCTTCTTCCGTGACCTGGCAATTATGAATTGGGCTGCAGTAAACATTCTGATACAAATATCTTTGTTGTAATGCGATTTTTGGTCATCTGGGAATATACTTAATAAAGGAATTGCAGGGTCAAATGGCAGGTCTATTTTTAGTTCTCTAAGTGTTTTCCAGATGTCTTTCCAAAAGGAACGTATTAGTTTACATTCCCACCAGCAGTGTAGGAGTG